CAGACAACATTATTAATGCTGGAATTTTTTCCTCACTTATTTTTAGTTCTCTTTAGAAAATTACACTTGAGGGCTTTCAGTAATGACAATTTAAGGAGCAGAAAGACTTGGCACAACACTGGGACCCTTTTGTAATGCTAATGAAGGGGCATGGGCCAATCCGCACTTGGGAGGCTTTTTTTCTGGATACAGTTCTGTTTTTGAAGCTTGGGCTGACTTCTGGAATAGCTGGGCATATGAAATTACAATCCAGAGAGATTGCCTACTAACAACAGTCATCCATCATCCCATAAGGAAACCCTGTGTGGTCTTTTATAAATCTGACAAGGTTTGTACTCTTGTGTTTTAGTGGTAAAAATCTGGAGTACAGGAGCATGAAAAATGAGAAGGTTTTTTTCCCCTTCTATCTTGACTCTATCAAAATATCATCTTCTGCCTTGAGGCTCTGAGGTCTCGTAACTCTGCTCTTGTATTATTCCTTTCGATTTTTTTTCTTCCTAGTTTTATTCTTCACTTCCAATGGCTTTATATTTTAAGTTTCTCATACAGGGCCTTAAGCTATGTAAATGAAATAAGTATAATTAGTTACCTATGCTTAATAGAATGCTATTCTCATTCATCTGAACAGACCAGAAGTAGATTTTCAATAACTCCAAACTCACAGGGAAGGAGTAAGGGTGGGGTGGGAGTGGATTCTTGCCAGTTTCACATCATTCCTCTTCCTGGAGTATTTTTCAGACAGAATGTTCTGGAATCCAACTGCGCGGGTTCAAATTGTGGCTTTATAGTATATTAGTTGAGTGACTTTGTGCAAAGTACTTGAACTCTTTGCACCTCAGTTTCCCCATTTGTGAGGAGGGATACCAACACTTCTCTCATGGTGCCAGGAGACAAGTGAATGATAAACACTTGCCAAGTGTCAGATCAGTGCATTGCTAATGATGATGGCCATGATGCTGATGATGAACGGAACACACACTACTTTAGGGGACTTGTGTAGATTACTTTTCAAAACCATGCCACAAGATGGGTGCTATTAGCACTCTCATTTTGTAGCTTAAGAAACAAACACAAAAAGTCTGTGTTCTTGTGCATTTCACTCCTCACAAAGTAGAGGGCTGGGTTCAAACTCAGCAGATACTCATTACTACCACTTATCATACTTATAACTACTTAATACTTATAACTAACACTGCTGATAATGGTGAATTTGCGTGTTTTATCCTTCTTCAAAGTGTATAAGGCTGGCCAGGGTGGGGCACACCTTTAATACCAGCTACTTGGGAGGCACGAATCAGGAGGATCCATGGTTCAAGGCAGCCCTCCCCGCCCCAGGAGAAGAGGGGGGTAGTGAGATTGGGAAACTTAACAAGTCCACATCTCAATCAACCAGCTGAGTATGGTGAATATGCCTATAATCTCAACTATGCTGGGGCATAGGGAGAAGGATCTTAACCCAAGATTGGCCCTGGAGGGAAAAAAAAAACACACAAGGCCCTATCTTAAAATATCTAAAGCAAAAAAAGGGCTGTGTGGTGCGGCTCAAGCAGTAGAATGCCTGCCTAGCAAGCATGAGGCCCTAAGTTCAAATCTCAGTACCCAAACCACAGTGCATTAATATATATCTATATATATATGTATGACCATCCAAATAAAGGTTGATTCAGGCAAGGATTATCACCTAAAACCATCAAGTAAAAGTGTTTTGGAAATAGAATATACCATGCCTTCAGATCACTTGCTAATTGCAAAAAGGAAGAAGTTCCTTTATAACAGGAGAGATCCTGCAAGTCTTGAGCAATGATGGAACTTAGTACCACGACAACAACAGCCAGCACGACCCACCTGCCAATGAGACACGTGCCGAATGCCCTGCAGCATGACATGTCCAACTGAAACCTAACGGTGCTTTTAGTCCAAACTTACCATGTATATGAAATGCAGAGGGTAAGGAACAAATGAACCAGAAGGCAACAACCAATTCAGAAAGTGGGGCCTTCTACAAGACATAAAAAAAATCCAATAGAGATAAAAAAGCCAACTGCAAAACAGGTGTTTGCTTTTGAAAACTAGATCCTGTCTTTTAATGCTACAACAGACTTGTAGGAAGATGCCGGATGATACTGAGCAATTACTATTCATCTTCTCAGGTTTGATGATGGTTTTATGGTTCTGTGGCAGAATGTCCAGATTCTGAGCTTGGACCTGAATTATTTACCAGTGAAGTGCCATTTTATCTACCACTTATGGGTAATTCAGAAAGAAATTCTTATGGAGGGAACAAATATGACAAAAGGTAGGTTTTGAACCTAGGAGGTGAGGACAGATGCATCCACCACACTGACATTTCAACTTTTCTTTAGATTTGGACATTTGATTTACCATCTTCCTGACACATGCCCTCCACCTACTTTGGAGAGCATTGAAGACTTTTCTCATCTTGTACTTTGTAATAGCTTCACATAATTCTCTTAAATGTTTGTATGCGGGTACATCTTGAAAAAGAGAACTGCTTTTAAAAATAATTTACTGAAGTTCTATTAGCTCAAACTTATTAAAATCTAACATGGCATTGTGGGAGAGATGTCAGTGCCTAGCACAGGTATGGCTCATAGCATTGACACACAGTCATTGTTGAACAACCATTTGTAAACTGTTTCTAAGATGGGGCTATGCTTTCATAAGAACTGCCAAAATACTAAGGAAAGAAGAAAAAAGAAAATGGCAGAGACACAAGGCTCAGCTGCATCTTTGTAGATGGAGATTCAAATACTTCAGGTGGATAAAATGGAGCCTGATTGTTCGTGAGTGTGCGTGCGTGTGTGCGTGTGTGTGTGCGTGTGTGTGTGTGTGTGTGTGTGTGTGTGTGTGAGTTGTGGGGCTTGAACACTGAGCTTGGGTACACTGTCCCTTAGCTTCTTCATTCCAAGCCAGCACGCTTACCACTTGAACTCTACGTCTGGCATTTTGGTAATTAATTAGAGATAAAGGTTTCAAGGACTTTCCTGACTGGGATAGCTTTAAACTGATTCTTAGATCTCAGCCTCCTGAGAAGTTAGGATTGCAGGTATGAGCCACTGGCACCAGCTTACTCTATCCTTTGATTCAAGTAACTGCACTCATGAAGATTCCTGAACAAGTTCTGAGCTTTTATAGGCGCACAGACATGAAGGATCTCCCTAGGATTCATCCAGCAGCAACTGTTACTTATTTAATAAATCCTGATGGAATTGTGCTTAATGACATATTTGTGAACAATTGCAGACTTCTTGATCCAGGAAGAGAGGCAAGCTCTGCTCAAGTTCAGGCATGAGTACTTTAAGCCATCAATACCAGCACGTGTTATTCTCTGGGAATCAATAAATATGTGGGAATTAGGATCATTGTCAGCGTTTCGGAAGGCAATGGGTTCTAGAAGAAATGGCTTCAGCAGCCAGAGAAGTGCATTTAGAAAAAGAGACGGGAAGAGAATGATCAAGATTAAAAGAAATAATTAATAATGATATCATCTTGCCTTCTTAGAGTGCCCTTTCTCTGAGGTGCTTTATATCTATGTTAGCTCGTTAATTCTTACAATGTCCCTGGGAGGTAGGCATAGAACAGTTGAAATAAAGAAGAAAAGGCATTTTCATGAGGCCCTAAGATGTGAGGATATTCAAAAAAGTTATTATATTAGCAACAGAGTATTTCTTCATATTGAACAGCTCAATCACCTCCTCCTTTGCTTCAGTCAAGTCATTTTTGAAAGAGAAAAGCTATTACAATTTAGAGAGAATAAGATTACAGCTTACTATGTGGGGAATGCTCAAAGTTGGATGTAAAATGGTAGTTTTACTCAATGATACAAGGGTCATATCTTTTTTATATTAAAGTTCCCAGAAAAGGGCAGAGATCAGAACTTTTTCAGAGCTAAAATGCAAATGCATTTAAGTGGTTTTCTATTTATATTGTATTCTTTATTTAATAGTGAATGCTTTTACAAAGAGAACCACTTTAAAATTACTCTATAAATGGGATGACTTATATACCATACCAAGTTACTAACAGAGAATACCTTCATTTAAATATGCTTTCAGGAATAAAAAATTAGGAAGGAAAAAGGGACCCACTAAAAATTAACAGCTTATGATAAATTGCAAGAAAATTGGTTCAAATGAAGCCTCTTATACTTTGTAACATGAGCACATGAATTACCACCGTCCCCCGCTGTATTTTTATATCCTAAACATTCTCCCTTAATTGATCTAGACTTGCATATTTTCAATAATATGCAAATTCATTTACATATCCTTTATTAACCAGGCCTAATTTGAAGTATATAAATACAGTAATTTTTCAATTAGGGAAAACTTTGGTGTAACTTCATATTCACTCATGTTCAGGCACATTGGGGACAAAAGCAAAAATCTAATAATCTAAGCATAGATTAGATACAGTCATAGGGATCTAGGCTAGCTATTAATGAGGAGACAGACAAACAAGACCTTCTCAAAATAGATTCATCATAAAGTTGTGTTTCATTATAGGAGCCTCAAGTGGTGTTCTTGGTAAAGGAAACACAAATACTAGCAGAACTAGCAATTTGAGCAAAGACAGAAACCCTGACCCTGGAGTGTGGGAGTTCATTCTCTGCTGAGAGTTCTATCACAATTTGGCTTACATTCTGATGACAGTAAGGTGGAATTTTATTTCTGTGACCCCAACATCTAAAACCTTTTCCTGAGATAGATCTGAAGCCAATTAGAGGAGGTTTTTCTTAGGAATTGAGGAAGGACCAAGTCTTCAGCTCATCTGATGGAAGTTCGCTTCTATCACCACAAACATCGTCATGACAAACGACCTAAGAGACCTTCACTGATGGACTGAAATATTAAAAGCAATATTGAGAAAGCCCATGGGATTCTTTTTAATTAGACTTGACTCATAGAGGATCATTCTGTAAATCATACAACTGCTCACGGTTTTCAAAGAATGTGTACTGATGTTGCATAACAACATACCTTTAAGAAGAGAAGAAGTTGAGTTTATGTCTTGGCTCTGACACCGAGTTTATTAGAATCTTCTCTTGCAAGAAGGAAGATGACTTCAAACATCAAAATTACTGCATTTCAGAGTACAGATCCACCTTTGCTGTCTTCCAAGTGCCACACTGAAAAAGGGTGCAAACTTACAGGTCCATCTGTAATATTTCTTCCTCTCTACTTCTTGCTCTCCCCTCCAAGCTGCTCCAACTAGCCTGCTGTCTGTAGGCAAACCACACAGGAACTAGCAGATATGGGGCTGCCCAGAGCTGGGTGTGAGCCTTAGATGCTGTGGTTTTGTTTTCTGGCTGCCAGAGCTGAACTAAAAATGCAGGAGGTTCTCTGAAACACTTTTGCTTCTTTATGTTGGTTTCAGTTTTAACAACATCCCCCCCTTGAACACTTATGTTCGCATAAGAAAAATTTGAATCCTGGACATGGTCCATCAGAAAGCTGCTACTGGCCTTAAGGAAGCCCTTCTTTTTCATCCCAGCATGTAGGCAGAGAGGAAAGCTCCTTGGGGAAACTTATTGAAACCTCCCCTTACCAGTCACAATGCTAAATCTCAGAGAAGATGTTCTCTTAGTGCACTCAGACGACAGTGGTGCTCTGCTTATAGTAACTCTTGAGTTAAAAAAAAAAAAAGAAAGAAGGAAGAGAAAGAGAGAGGACAAGAGGGAGAGAGAAAGAGAAACAGAAAAAAGAAAAAAGAGAGAAAGGAGGAAGGAAGGAAGGAGGGAGGGAGGGCAGAAAGAGAAGAAAGAAGAAAAGAGAAGAAAGAAGGAAAGAAAGTTCTCTGAGTAGGCTGAGTTCTAACCCCAGGTTTGTTACAGCATGTCTGAGGACTAGTCTTCAGATTTCTGGGGCTTCTCTTGAGCAGGTTCGACTGGAGGCTTTCTGGCATTTTAGGAACCCAGTTATGAACTAAATCTTGTTACCTTCAATTTCTTTAGATCTTACCTTCGACTTTCTAACTTACCCTTCTTCCCATATCACCTGCAACCAGTGAAGGCTTCTTCCTTTTACTCTTGCTTAAAGATGGATTACCAATAGGGATCTTTCACATGCAGTTAGGCATATGGCTGCTTGCTAACTGGTACCATCAGAGTTTGGAGACTGAACCCAAGATCAAGAAGGGTGGTCCTGGCATTAATTCTTAAGAGTGTCTAGAAGGATGGTATCATTTAAGATTCAATTATTCACTATTTATGCATTGTGAAACATTATCCTTTTCCTCTTCTCCCACTCCCCTTTTGATATGACAGTATTGAGGCTTAAAATGAAGGACTGGGTGCTGTCCCTTAGCTTTTTTTTTTTTTTTTGGCTGCAGGTTAGCTCTTTACAACCTGAGCCACAGCGCTGCTTCCAGAGGGGAGGTGGGAGGGGGACACAAAAAGAAAAAAGAAATCGTATGGACTTTCCTGCCCGGACTGGCTTTGAACCATGATCCTCTGTTCTCAGCCTCCTGAGTAGTTAGGATGACAGGCGAGAGCCACCAGCGCCTGGCTTTTATTGTTTTTCTGAGACAGGGTTTTGTGTAACCCAAACTGACCATGAACTCGTGATCCTTCTGCCTCCACCTCTGGGGTGCTGCAGTTACAAACATGAGCCAATATGCTCAGCTTGAGCAACATGTCTTTTTTTGTTGTTGTTGCCAGTCCTGGAGTTTGAACTCGGGACCTAAAAGCTCTCCCTGAGCTTTGCTCAAGGCCAGTGTTCTACCACTTGAGTCACAGTGCCACTTTCAGCTTTTTTTGGTGATTAATTGGAGATAAGAGTCTAATGACTTGCCTGCCTGGGCTGGTTTCAAATGGTGATCCTCAGCCTCCTGAGTCGTTAGGATTACAGGTGTGAGCCACTGGTGCCTGGCTTGCTCAACATTTTTGTTGAAATGAAAGAATCTGTTATAGAATCAGCTAAATATCTTATTCATAACAAGTGCTCAGAAACTATACATCAAATGAGTCATCTGCTGCTCCAATTCTTTAATAATGGGCTTGCTTTCTACTAATACAAGTTAGTCTAATTTTCTTAAAAACAGGTTACATCTGAATAGGATATCCACTATTTCCACAGAAAGATAGATTTGAAAGATAACATGTTACTAATTTTAAAACAAAAATATCTTCACTGGATACCAGTGGCTCACGTCTGTGGTTCTAACTATTCAGCAGGCTGAGACCTGGGGGGTTTACAGCCCCAGACAGCCTGGACAGAAAAGTCCATTTCTAACACATGAGTAGGAAGCAGGGCTCAAATGGTAAAGTGCTAGCCTTGAACAAAAAAGCTAAATAAGAGCTCAAGGCCCTGTACTGGCACTGACACAAAACCAAAACTAACAGCAACAAGTCCAATAGTATCTTAACATTTGGCCTGGGAGCTCTTCAGCCTTTGTGACTTTCTTGGACTTTCAAGACTTTCTTGGATCCTATTACATTGAATAGCTCCATTGCCAAGTTTCCTTATTATGAAACAGTATCCACGTCAGAAGTCTGAAGTAATTAAAACAGTGACTGCTTTAACTTCCATAGCCAGGGAGTGGGAAGGAAGGAAAATCTTTAAGGGTGCTATAGAGAAAGTGTCAGGACATTTACAACTTGTCATCTACTATAGAAAATACCTCTCCACTATCCCCCAAGGATCAGATTATAAACTCTCTCTTTCCAAGCAAGGGCAGAGGGCCAAACAGAAGAATCAAGGAGAATTCATTTTGGTTGTGAGTTCTAGAAGGCAGATCTGGTACACAGAGCACAGGGAGGAAAGCAGGCCACTTTGGTGGCTTATTTCATAACAGCTGTGTCACTGAACAAATACAAAGGCAGGACCTAAGAATAAAGACCCTACTGTGAGAATGTCAGTCCTCCCCATCAGGAGACACTCAGGAAAACAGCAGCTGCAGGAGGACTCCGCAGCATGCCCACCATGTAGACCATTAAAGCATACTTGTCTAAACAGATTTTCAGCAATTCCTCCTTGAAGGGTCATTGTAAACAACAAAACCTTTTTTATACACAATTATGCTTAATTTAACTTTCTAGTAAAATGGATACTGTGGATTCAACACTGTGAATTCAGATACTCCCTTTTCGTTCATTCAATTGATTGAAACGCCTTCTCTGGGTTAGGCCTTCTTTCTCCAAGGACAGGCTGGGAATATACCAGTGAGCATCTCCATGGATGATTGTTCAGTCCTGGAGAAAAAGTACAATAGGGAAGAGCCATTGGAAATGTGGCTTGACAAGGGTGAAAAAAAGAGGGGAAAACACCAGGGTCTTTCTAGCCATGGCAAGGATTTTACTGTGAGAGGGGAGCCAATGGAAGCAAATGGAAGATTTGATAAGATCTAAGTTAGCATTTAAGTTTTACAAGGATTGTTCTGGCTGTTGAAACTAGATTATGTCAGAAGAACAGAGGCAAAGACAATAGGATGCTATTGTAACATTTCACGTAAGAGAGGATAGTGGGTTAGAACTGGGAAATGGAAATGATGGGAAGTGGCTAGAATCAATATAGAGGTTGGTCAATGTTTAGGTCTGGCTCAAGTGGAAGAATACTTGCCTAGAAAGCACAAGGGATTCATTGTTTAATCACTTCAAACCCCAATACCGCCATAACCAAAAACAAAACAAAACAAAAATCCAAAAAACAGTACACAAAAATTCCAAACTGGTTGTTCAAGGTCCAAGAAACTAAAAGAAAGAATGTGTCATGTATTGAGACAGGAAAGATTATGAGAGAGCATATCTGGAAGACAAAAATCAATATATTGAATTTAAATTCAATATATTGAATGTAAATGTTTGTCAGACATACCAATGGGGAGGTCAAAAGAGACATGAGTTTGGAAGTCAAGAGAGATTAGGGCTGATGATAAAGCCTTGAGAGCGGCCCACTGTGAAAGGGATTGACAGCTATAAGAACTGCACCACACAACCTGGAGAATGAATACAGACAGAGATGAGCATCTGGAGACACCTCCAAAGCTGAGAGACTGGAGAATGAGAAGAAATGAACTAAGGTACTTAAAACAATGGATGTCTGGGATACGAAATGAAGCAAATTTCGTTCATTTTTGTACAACTGAGTTCAAAGAAAAATCAAAGAAAAGCAGCCAACAAAGTTGGTGGGTTGCCATGGTATTGCAACTAAACTGTGCTCCTAAAGCAGATCAAGAAGGGTACCCTTATCAAATTTCACTTCAACCACTAGGTTAGTAACACCAACTTTTTTTTTTTTGGTCATGGGGCTTGAATTCTGGGCCCAGGCGCTGTCCCTGAGCTCTTCAGCTCAAGATGAGCACTTTACCACTTGAGTGCCACTTGCAGTTTTCTGGTGGTTAACTGGAGTTAAGATTCTCACAAACTTTCTTGCCCAGTCTGGCTTTGAACTGTGATCCTCAGATCTCAGCCTCCTGAGTAGTTAGGATTACAGCTGTGAGCAACTAGCACCTGGCATAATACCAACCTTTGTTAACTTTAACCAAGTTCCTGAGTACTATTGGCTGCTCCTTCCTTACCAGGCCTGCAGCACTTGATCTTGCCCTATCTTCCTTCCATCTGTCTTTTCAGTTACCTTCCATACGCTGACTACTCTCAGGTCTGGTTCTCAAGTCTGTGAACCAAGACCCAGCTGTTTCCTTTATTCTAGCTCTCTGTGCTCTCCTGTTTACTCGCTTGGGCATCCACCAACCCCAGGCTCCTCATATTCAAAATGTCCCAAAGCAGAATTCATCATCGTTTCTGCCAAAACTGCTTCTAAGACCTGGTGAGAGTCACCCAAAAAAGAAACTTGAGAGTCACTGTAGACTCTGTTTTCTCTCATTCCCACATTTATTTGGATCCAAGTCCAGTAACTTCTCCACCTCACATTAAATGTAAAAGCACATGTGTCCAAGGAGAGTTAGTCCAATAGTGTGTCACGCCATGCCACTCCAGCTGTTCCTCTTATCTCGAGAATGCATCCCAAGACGCACAGTGGATTCCTGGGATTGTGTATGGGACTTAACCCTATATGTACTGTTTAATATTTTTTCTAATTTAATTTCCTACATTTTCATACATACCTAGGGTAAAATGTAACTTCTAAGTTGGGCAAAATAAGAGACTAGCAATAACTAATAACAGAGTGATTATAGTAACAATAATGTAAATGTGGTCTCTCTCTCTCTCTCTCTCAAAATATGTTATTGTACTATGCCCAGCTTTTCCTTCTTGTGATGATATGGT